GTCAAAGCAAAGTTTGTGAGTCATCTATCCTGGTATATTGAAGTCCGAGAATGGTTGTTCAGAGCCTATACCTTCATCAAAGAAGATGCTGCATAAATTGATTTGATTGCTAAGTTCACTTAGGGGGGAGATTATTGGAACCTGAAAGTGAACCTCTAGCAATCCTAAGCTCCAATTCCGAAGTGAATATGTTCCGAAACAATGAATGTTCTACAGTCGAATGTGAACAGTGGTCCAGAATCTGTCCGAACTGAAAGAGAAGAAGATGAGAAGCTTAAGTGAAGACATTCCGGAATGATCCTCATATACGGAATGTGTGCTGATCCGAAGTCACTACATTTTGTCCTTGTGCATTTATTAAAGTTTGTCTTTGTATTGATATGACATTTCATAGGACTTAGTCTTTTTGTAATAATAGACAATCAGAATGTTAGGAACATTTCTATTGTCCGACCCTAAGTTAGTATCCTAGTTCATTCAATGTAACCTTCACTGCTATTTATAGGAGCTTTCAATGCAAAGTAAAAGACAGATCTTTCACTCTATTTTTGCATTTTTACTAAATCACTTTAGTTCTATCAAAAACATTCTTATTGTTCTTCATTTAATATCTTTACACTGATCATTATCTTCTCTCTTCATTTATATCTTGAATACTTTGTTTGAAGTATTTATTCAGACTTGACTAGTCTTGCCAGACTTGACTGGAACACTTATTAGTAAGCAGACATTGATCTTAAGTATTCATTCAAGGTTTGAGTTTTCAAACTTTGTCCCTGCGCATCAGATCATCCTTGCTCTCACAAATACTCACTAAATAGTGTGACTAAACCCACTGAGGCACTTCCTAGGCTCTCTTAGGTTCCCGACCTCACCCTTTCGTCAGCTGCTGAAAGATTCCCATCAATGTCAACTAACTACCTCATGAATATAGTCACATGGAACAGAGATCAAATAACCCTTCAAGTAAAAGTCTCAACCCTAAAACAGTTGGACTCGAACAAGAGTTTCATTTTTTGTTTCAGTTACATCAGATGATCGCGGGAAGGCAAAGGCATGATCGTACAACTCCTTATATTTCTATGACCTTGTTTCTGGGATACTCTGATATTATATTATTTTGAAAATAAATTTGTAATAACCATTCGTTTTGAATGTTTGAAAAAGTTTAAATTTTCCATTATTTTTATGGATGTTACATCAATGAATACAATCACGGACCAATCCAACATCGATCTGCACATACGGTTCATGAGATCCATGAATGCGGTTGGAGCATTGGTGAGCCCAAAAGGCATCACCATGAACTCATAATGACCATAACCAATTCAAAAAGTAGTCTTTTGCACATCCTTATCCCTCACCCTGTATCTGATGATAACCTGATCGCAAATCATTCTTGGAGAACCAAGATGCACCGTGAAGCTAGTCAAGAAGATCATCGATCCTTTGGAGTGGATAACGGTTCTTCACCGTTACCTTATTCAGCTCCGGTTAGTCAATGCTCATACAATGAGACATATCCTTCTTCTGCACAAACAAAATCAGTGCTCCCCAAGGAGAATTGTTCGGTCGAATGAATCCCTTGTCTAATAGCTCCTGCAGTTGTGTAGAAAATTCTTGCATCTCGGTAGGAGCCAACCGATATGGTGCTTTGGCTATCCGGAGGCACCCCATGCAAATCCTCTGGAAACACATCGGGATAGTCCCACAGAATAGACACATCATCCACGGCCGCCTTACCCTTATCCCAAGTATCCATAACATAGGTGACATAATTGGAACAACCTTACTGAAGATAACATCGCGCCCTCGCTGTTGAACATAATATTGACCCACGTTGAGATATTTCCCCAAGAACCCCCCCCCCTTGGGGTTCGAACCCGAACTAACTTGTGCTCACAATCGATCACTACCTCATTAGGGCTTAACTAATCCGTACCAACAATAACCTTGTTCCCAGGCAAAGGAATATGGAAAAAATCCACCATATATTGCTCGTTGAATAACGGAAGCGTACAACCCTGATGAATCCTCGCAACTCGAACATATCTATCATCTGCAATCTCGACATCCAAGGGACAATCCAACTTCCCTGGAGCTCCTGCAAACCTCTTGCTAAGTGCAAGCGATACAAAGGTTCGGGTAGCCTCGAATAAAAAAAAAATACCAAAGCAGGAATACAATTCACAAGGAACGATCCTAAAATAAGACATAAATATAAGCAAGAATTCAATATAAATAAAGAAATAAGAAAATGATACATATCCGTCACCATATTTGGTGTCGTGCGAGCTTCCTCGGCTGTCAGCTGGAAAGTCCTACTCTTCACCACAGACTCAATCAAATCTTTGAACAAATTATATATTATCCCACGCCCTCATGATTAATAAAAACAATAAAAACAAAGTCAATAAAATCTTCAACTAATTATATATTATTCCGCATAGATAGGGTTGTAAACGAACTGAACAAACACGAACGGGGGCTTGTTCATATTTGTTCATTTAAGTTAGCCGAACAAATGAACGAACACAAACGGATAAACGAACGAGTTTTCTTATTCATGGTCGTGCGTTTAACAAATTACATTGTTCATGTTCGTTCGTTTATGTTCGTGAACAAGTTAAACGAACATAAACGAACAAAGATTAAAAAAACATAATTGAACATATATGAACATATAATATAGTAATGTAATCAAACACAATTAAGCATATATGAATATAAAATGAACTTATATAAACAAATATAAACGAACTTAAATGAACAACATAAACGAACGTTCACGAACATAATTGAACGAACGAAATCAGTGTTCATGTTCGTTCGTTTAACTAAACGAACGAGAATTTATGTTCATGTTCGTTAATTTATTAAATAAACGAACATAAATGAACTTCCCACCGAACTGTTCATGAACCGTTCGCTGAACGTTCAGTTCATTTACAACTGTACGCACAGACTATCGAACACTACTATAAGTCAAATTAATAAAATAAAAATAAAAATAAATAATAAAAAACTAACACCTTATTATTAATCAGAACAATAAAAAACTGAATCAAATCTTCAACTAATTATATATTATCCCACCGCTTCATTATTAACCAAAACGATAAAAAAAAAATCAAATCTTCAACTAATTATATATTATCCCACGCAATGTCAGCCATATTATTTTTTATAGGCATGAATGGAAGAGCAAAGGTTGAAATTTTTTACGGATAGAGGTGATTCATTTCTTGAGGATTTTCTTTTTAGAAATCTTTCCATTTTTCTGTTAAATAATCAAACAAAACACCTGTGTCAATACAGACTTAAAACATACTTTATCTGAATTCTAGTTCAAAAAATTTAATATTGGATGTAAATAATAGATTTAAAAGAAAAAAAAAACTTGTTATTATATCAAATACTAGAACCACTAAAATTCATCACCAATTCAGTTTTTAGACTAAATACCAGAAACGTTCATCTTCCACTCGTCTGATTGGTTCACATGCTGGACAATTTCCTGTCCTTCACTGTTCACTTGATTGCTAACTGTCTGAAGTTTCTTGTTAAGACGACAGTTTTTATTACTTCCGTTTCAGTTTCATGAGAATCCGTGATTCCGATGTTTAAATCTCTCTTCTGTTGTTGATCAATTATTCATTTAAGAGCACCACCAAACAGGACCAGGTAAGCCAGATCCAATCCCGATCGGGAATGAAGCAACATCGAAGTCTAAAACCAATCAACGATAAACAGAAGTAACTATCAAAGGTGAGTTTTATTTTCAAAAACAAAAATCAAGCAAAAGATAACACAATTCCAGCAAAAGTAATTGAAATACACAAGAACACACCATGCTAGTTTACAATACATATCTTCAAAAGCACTCAATATATATTAACCACGAATTAATATATTTACAGCATTTATTTATTGAACATATCGGGCGACATCATGATTGCTTGAAAAAATGAGCATCCATATTTCCAGCAATTCCACAAAGCAAGTCCAGATACGATGTTGGATCCGGTATACTTGCATTCGCCTTCTCGAACTCTATAGTCCAGATAACAAGCTTCTTATCCCCCACATATTTGGTCTTAAGGATGAAGCTAAAGGAATTATACACCTCCACGATATGTCCTTCAATCACTTTGAACACAATTTTGTGCAATTCATCATCAACTTCTTCAATGATTTCTTTGCAAGTTTCCTTTTTTCCATCTACGGAAAAACCATAATTAGTTTTTACAAACGTTCATAGATATGTGTGTGTGTGTGTGTGTATTGGCGGTATGGATAGAACATAGAACAAGTTAGTTTTTATGTTAAGTTAACACGAATGAAGTAGTTTACTATGATAGAAGTCCCAATGAATGACAGATCCAGGAACACCCCATTGGCCAGAAACTAAATGACAAGCTTCAACCTTCTCAGGGTCGGCGACTGATGAGTCGTGTGGATTGTTCTTGTAGAGGTCATAAACCAAGTGACAATCGCAATTGATTTCAACTTCACGTGATATCTTTCCGGTTATAGTCATCTCTTTTTCTTGTGATCACTAGCTAGCTAGTCGTCTCCTCTAATGGTAGTACTTATACAACTGATGAATGAGGCAATTATATAGGGATGTTGCTCATGTTTTTCTACTTATACCATGTGCTTGTATGATTGTACTTGTACATCTTCAAGCTTTACATGGAAAATTTAACCAATATTATAATTAAGGAAATTGAGTAATCTAACCATTTTTTAATGTATATCTGAGAAAAAAAATTTCATTTTTTTTCTTTTTTTTTGCAAAAGTGACCACCTTATTGGGAATGTTCCATTCGCAGACAAAAAAAAATATTCTGAAATTTCATGATAGTATCCGAAATCTGAAGAACAGTTTTAGAATTTGAGAAAAAGTTTGTTTTTTTATTTCAATTTTACAAAATGTTAAACAAATATAGTAAATGTGAAATATATATCTTTATATCTTAATAAACATTTAAACTTAAATGCTGAATTTTAAGAGGTACATCCCTTAAAACAACAATTACAACAACTTTATGCATTCCTGAAAAATCATATCGTATCCACTCCACCTTTGAAAATGTCAAAATTGAACCTGCATTTCCTCAATTTCATCCGATGGAATTGGTCAAAATAAATTGAATTGGTAAAGATCCACCTCCGCCCTATAATGCTATATCTTTGTTGGTCGTTTATATAACCCTCTCCCACCTCCACTCTTCTCCATTCCACTCCTATCTCACCTCTACCTCTGTTAATCCTCTTCACCATTCTATCTACAACCTACACCGGTCGCGACCACCACATAGAACCCACCATCTCACTTTTTCTTGATCCGGGAAACAAAAACTTTGCTACTCACCAAAATTGATTTTTTTTGTTTAACGGTTGCTGAGGGTCAAATCATTAAGAAGGTGAAGAAGACAAAGAACCGGATCTGTATTGGACTTCTTAACTCTATCGTCCTCTTTATTGCTTGCTCTGATAAAATCTAGGTAAACTTTTTCTCACTTTCACTCTCTCTATCTCACTATCTCTCTCATTACCGAGAAAATATATATACTCAAGGTAATTCAAAAAAGTTTATCGTAATAACGTTCTTATCTGAAAGGGCATCGGAGCTCTTGCTTGCGCCACTTCATCGACCTGAACAACCTCCACCACTCACGTTGATTGCCATCTTGATCTCCCTTTCTCTCCCTTTCCCCTCTATCAAAAACCCAACCACTATCCCTTTCATTTGTATACTCTCAAAACCACTACAAACTCAAACGTATATCAAGAACCGATTTCATATCTTATATTTTAATTTGGTATATATTGGAAACTGGAGGGAAATCATTTCTTCACCAATTGGTTCGATTTTGAAGAAAAGTCGATTTGCAGGTATCTCTTTCGGAAGAAGAAGTTGATTTGCAGGTCCATCTCTCTTAAAGTTACCACACAAACCCCCTGATGTACTTGTGTGTGTGTGTGTGTTTTGATATTAAAGGTTTATTGGTTGGCCCAGGTACTCCTCCACCATGGAAAATCATCACAAAAATGATTTATCTGTTTGTCACAAAGGTAAAAAAAAACAACTTTTATTATTGATTAACTCTCTTAAATTTCTAAATTTTACACATATTTGTCCTTCACAGGATCATGTGTTTGTGATGATTATCTGATATGCGAGGGTGAATGGAATTAGCAAGTGGAACTCATTCAATAAGTTCTTCATGGTTAAACAACCCAAGTATGAGATATACTCTGCACTTTTCAGATGCCTAAACTATAATTAAATTTGAATTTGTGTATATGTGTGTTTATAAGAAAGATAAATTTGAATTAAATTTTTTGGTATGAAAAAATAAATTCTTAGATGCGAAAAAAAAATACATTTGCAGTCACTATTATACTTTAGTAAGAAAAAAAATCTTAAATAAGAAAAGAAATGCAGTCACTTTTATGCTTTGGCAGATAAGTATTTATAATTTATTTACAGCAACAATATATTTTTAAGCTTGAGTTGATCATGTTGTTCTATATCTTTTATAGGTACATGTCAAGTGTATTTTAGCCTCATTTCACTCAATTATTTTATAATTTATGCAGGTTACTCTAGATGAAGTGCAATTATGTGTTGCTAACAAACTGTAAGTTAAGAACAAAACAAGTTGAAACATTTTTTGTGTCTAAAGTAGTAATCCCATGGTTTCATTGTTTTCTGTTAATAATTAACATTTGGTAATATTTAATTTATAGGTGACAACTTGAACTGAAAGTCACCTTGATTTATGCTTTCAGAACGAAGGTTGAAAACAGAATTATTGTGTTTTTAATGCTATAATATCTTAAAACTTAAACCATTGGTGGAAACATCAAAAAAAAAATTGAATCTTTGATGGAAATGAGAATCACAAACAAATATCAAGACTAACAGAACTCTCAGATTTCTCAACTCTCCAGGTTCTTTTTCTCATTTTACTAATCTTAAATCTAACCCTGAACGTTCAGTTTTCGAATCACCAAGATTAAAGAAAACTATTAAGATTTGATTTTAATCTATTATTTTCTCTCTCAATGGATTGTTTGAAGTTATCCTCTAGAAAGACCAATTTGATTTTAAAAATATAATGGTTTAATATGAAAAATACTTAAATGTTAAGAGAACATTGGATTTTATTTTCTTTGTAAAGCATCCTACCTCCGTTTCTATTCGTTTTGTCACATTTACATCATTGTTTGGTTAATGGTTCAAATAGAGGTTTAATCTACATGGAGGGGATATGGTTTATGATTCTAACTTGGACAACATACAAAAGCACGACTGCCCGAATGTGGAAAATTAGTGGGAGTTACTCATGCAGAGGTATCGACAGCCTTGATGGTGGTTAATACATTTTTTAAATCTCAGTAATTTCCATGTCAAGCGTTATAAATCTGAGAAATTTGCACAAAGTGGAAAACCTTTTTTTTTGCATATATTTGTTATAATTTAGTCTTTTATATTTAACTTTTAACTCTCTTTTTAGTTTCTTATGTTCTAATTTATTCTTAACCTATGTACATTCTAATTTTTTTTTTAACTCTTCTTATTCAGTAGGTCTTGGGGACAAAAAACTCTTTACTCTAACATTGTTTTTATTTTCTCAATGTTATCCAGTTTTTTGTTCCTATTTAATTCCATATGACACTCCACCATGCTACGAAAAGGCTTTAACCATTAGGCTTCACATAGACTCATTGTAGACATTTTTTTAATCAAATCTAGCATCATGTAATTATGTATGAGTTTGATCATTGCCATTACTTTTGCTTTTAGGAAGTTTTATCTTTTATGCATAAGTTTTATGATTTGAAAGCAATAAATCGAAATGTAATGTACTTTAGAGAATTTTATTTTCATAGCAATATACTGTTGTTTTTTGTCAAAGATAGGAACCTACTTCCATTTTATGTTTTTCCAATAGCAATGTACTCTTTTTTTTTGTCAAATATAACATCATGCTTTCATTTTCTATTTTGTCAAATATAGAAAAATGAAAGTAGAGTGCTATAAATTGGCATATAATCCAAAGTACATTGCTAATTTTCTTATGTATGATGGGCATGTGTGTCTGTATGTTGTGTGATGTGTGTGTGTTATTATGGATACATAATTGTAAGCATGTTGCTATTTATCTATAAGAAAAAATAACCATAAGGGTAAATAAATAAATATCTCATCCAACTTATTCGCCTATAAAATATTTGCAATTTTTAGCTACTCATTGCATCCGATTCACCAAGAGACTCATATATAATAAAAGGGTAGTAGCTCATGGAGACTCCATTGATGAAAAAGAAATACCAAAAGACAAATCTACCCCATCTCCAGCATATAGAACACAACTTGCAAATTGATAATGGTTGGATTGATATAACAAGTCTGGTTTTCGTCTGCACATAAGTACTCCCGATAGTTGTCTCGCATATGATACTACAAACATATGTAAAGACAATAACTACCACCTAGGATGAAAAGAAAACCAAGGGTTGTAGAAATGTATAAGGATCTAATTTAAAAATATGATGTCGATATGGTTTTGAAATTTTAGATGACTAAAAAAAAGCATAAAATATAACTACCAAAACGCAAAAATCTCATCCAAATAAAGAAAGGGAGTTGGAGGTTGTAATAAAAAAATATATGTCTTATTTATATATAATAATTATAAAAATTAGTTTTCGATAATTGATACCAAAAATATAAGAGGAATCAACGAAAGGAAACGAAATATACATAAAAAAGAAACGATTCCTAGAAAAGTAGCACGTGTTCCTTGAAATATAACATATTTTCGTGTCAAAACCCTCTGATAAATAGTTTACATAGATGGGTTAACTATTTGCGCAAAAAAATTAATCGCCTAAAGAAACTAAGTATATGTCTTTTGGTTCCGGACCCCATATATGTTTGGACCAGTCCTATATATATATATATATATATATATATATATATATATATATATATATATATATATATATATATATATATATATATATATATATATATATATATATTAGTGATTAAAATCATACATTTTATTGAAAAATTGTGATATTAATACTTAGAAAAGAACATTTTCAACATAAATGAGAATATTTTTTTCAAAAAGTGTTGGTAACAAACAAACAATAATTCCCGAATTTGAAGATCAAACCCGAAATGAAATACTTCGTAGTGGAGCTTTCTTTGAAAAAAAAAATTGAAATGTGGTCTTGAAGGCGAACAATAGTCCGGAATGAGGTGTTTAGGAGAAATGATCATTTTTTAAAAGTTGGAAATAATTGATTATTTTTTTAACAAGTTTATTTATAAATGTTAGATTAATCAATTTCCTTTATAAGTATATATAACATACCACTTCCAATGTCTAACCAATGATAACGGATGGCTATACAATTACATAAATGACTTTATATGAGGAAGGTTTAACATACCAACATTGAAAATACGGCTTAGGATAATGCTTCAAGTACTAGAGTACTAGACCAACCCTAAGACCGGACAGAGTCGGGTGCGGGAAAAGGGTCGGGACCTTTCCTGCTCCGATGAATACCGCATCGGCGGTGCGGGAATGCGAGCGCGGGAAAGGAGGTGGGGGTAGGGTTGATGTGTTGTCACTCCTCCTTGATTGGTTATTTATTTATTTTTTGTTCCAACAGCTACATAACGTTAATATATATATATATATATATATATATATATATATATATATATATATATTATATATATATATATATATATATATATATTCCCTATCATACCTTTTTACACTCTCCAAAAAATATTAATCAAAATGTTGTCATCTTCATTATCCAATTCGATGGCTCAAGAGGGGGCTAAGTTTATCAGTTCCGTCATAGAAAAAACGGTTGCATATTTCCAAAACCGACAAGGCAAAACATCACGTGCACGATCAAAACCAAGAAACCTGTCGTTGCATAGAAATTGTTAGGGTTGATCATTATACCCAAAAGTTTGTGAGGATTATATGGTCTTAAATATGGATAGCACAAACACCCAAAAGTTTTTAGGAAGGCATAATCAAGGATCTTTTGATAGAGACGTTGGTATGGTGACTCATAATTAAGAATGGGAGTGATGGTGCGATTTTGTAAATAAGTAGCCGTTTTAAAAGCATGTTCCCGAAAAATTTGTGGAAGAGAAGACTGTGCTAAAAGTGTGAGTCATTTTTCAATAATAACTATATTTTGACGTTCCACAGCCCCGTTTTGTGCTGGAGTGTGTGGACATGAGACTCTATGAGTAATCCCATGTTGTGTAAGAAAAGATGAGACATTTCTATACTCCCCCCCCCCCCAAAAATCAGATTGCATACTTTTTTATATCACATGAGAACTGAGTTTTGACCATTGTGCGAAAGTTTAGAAACAATTGATAAACTTCTGATTTTTGAGACATGAAATAAATCCACACAAACTTAGTAAATCATCAATGAATAACACCAAAAATATCGATGACTATTTATTGAATTAACTGGTGCAGGTCCCCAAACATCAGAATAAATTAATTCAAACGGTTTAGAGGATGCAACATGAGAATTAGGAAGATGTAATTTATGACTTTTTGCTAACTGACAAGAATCACAGACATTAGGAAATTTATTTGAAGACACTGGAAGTTGAAAAGTGGACACCAAACGATGCAGGATAGATTCATGTGGATGTGCAAGCCTCCTATGCCATCCATGTAGAGAGATGCGGCTGCTATGAAGATATCATGGGAGACTGTCGAAAAGAATAAGAAGGCAGCCTATATAAACCTTGATGTTTATCCCCTCGGAGGATTGTTTTCCCCTGCAATGTCTTAACAGAACAAGATTTAGGAAAAAACTCCATAGATACATTATTGTCTTCTGTGAGTTTTGAAACACTAAGTAAACTTTTAGTGAGATCAGGGACAAGAAGCACATTTGGCAATTTGAGATTAGGCAAAATAGAGGAACCAACATGAGAAATAGATAAATGGTTACCGTTTCCCACTTGAAGTTTATCATCTCCATTGTATGGCTCAGAAATGGTAAGTTTGGAGATGTCAGGGTACATGATCTTGCCCCAGTGTCAAAATACCAAGTGGATCAAAGGCAGTGGTAGGGTTTTGCTGACGAGCCAAGTGGACTTGTCGTTGATTGTTGCGTGGATTAGGTTTTCGTGAAGGAAAGTCAGTTTGATTTCCACGTTGCCAGCAGTCGATTGCTTCATGACCTTGCTTTGAACACAGTTGACATGTTGGTCTGCGTTTTTTCTGATCATAATTTCGATAATTGTTGGAAGAGCTCGAGCCTTGAGTGGTTTGTTGACGTGGGTTGGAGCGATTCACATTAAGAGCCGTGGCAGAGGATTGTTGGGGCACCGCAAGGCGAAGATGCTCTTGTTCAAGTCGTGCTTCCTCCTTTAGTAGAAGACCTGTAAGATCATCAACAGTTAGAGAGTCTGTCTTCATCATGAAGGCAGTGATGAATGGCCCGTAAGACACATCAAGGCCATTTAGGATATAGGTAATTAAGTCTTCATCATGAATGGGACGAAGATTTGTAGACAAGGAATCAGAGATAGATCTTTTCTTTTCAAGATACTCAATCATGGACATTGACCCCTTTGTAAGAGTCTGCAATTGAGTCTTGAGTTGCATTCAAGATGCACGTGTTTGAGCTTGAAACAACGTTTCAAGAGTGGTCCATGCTAGGTGAGATGAGGTGGCAAGGGCAACCATAGCATAAGCGTGATCAGACAATGTGGATTTTATCCACAAAAGGACAAAGCGATCCCTTTTCTTCCAAAGGGTATAGGCCGGATTGACAGCAGTGGTGGCTGGAACAGCTTTGACTGCCGAGTTGGTGTCGGTGGCTGGAACTGCCTCAACGGCAGGTACTTCAATCGTTGTGGGCGGCGGATTAGGTTTTAGTACACATTCCTCCAGATCGAAGGTCTCCAAGGTGGAGATAATAGTGGTGCGCCAGAGAACGTAGTTTGATTGATCAAGTTTAACGGGTATTGTGGGAATCTGGAAATTTAGATTTGAGTTGGTGGTGGTAGCAAGGTGAAGAAGATTTGGGGCCGCCATGGAAGATAGAGGAAAGAAAGAGAAAATAAGCTTAGTGAAGCTCTGATACCATGTGAGTACACAGAGTAATGAATGAGTGAATTGTGATCCCAATAAACAATACATTTGAATATATACACAGTAACCTGAAACTAAACAGGAGATAAAGGCTCATGTTCCTACGCTATAGCTGTTGACTCTAGAGTAATTCAAAATATACATTTATAATACTAAGTCTAATTATGTATAATAAAATATTAAA